AGAAGAGGTGCAGCAAGAATCCTGGGGGGACAGCGAGGCCGAAAGCTGCCTCTCCTGTCGGACGGTGGAGGGTGAGTGGAGGCGTACCCCAGCAGCCAGGAGGAAGTTCTGTTTCTGGGCCACTGCTTTCTTTCTGGCCTTAAATTCCCAGCCGGAGAGGGGGGAGGCAGAATTCCTAGGAAGTTGACTTCCGGGCCTGGGGCTGATGAAAGCTGATCACTCACATGGCAGAAGGGCTGTCCTCTGGACCAGTCAGTTGGATGTGGTGACGGGATGGACAGCTGCGATGTGTCCCAAGGAAATACCATCTGTCACTTTTTCCTTTGTTTCATCAGAAGCTTGAATGACAGCGTTTCTGCCCCCTGAACATTTGGCTTCCTTGCCGTGGAGCGTGTCGGGGTGACGGTGGCTTCCCGGGGCCCTCACTGGGAGCTGCCACATTCTGCTAAGTCCGCCCTAGTGACATATGAATTTGCTGATGGGGTGCATTCTGCTCACCCTGGCAGCAAGATCCTGTAGCCAGTGGCCTCGACTCCTGAACAGTGGGCAGAAGTCTGGCCCAGCGGCTCTGCTCAGCCCCTGCTGGGTGTCTGTCACCTGGGCCCCTGAGGGAGTCTTGTTGGAGGCCATTTGCAGTCATGATGGGTCATGACTACTGGGGCTGGGGGGTGGAGGGCAGAGGTGGCAGTTGGTGTTAGGCATATTTGATCAGCTGTGTGAACAGAGGGGCTTTCTCTGGGCAGTGTAAATAGTCATTGGCCAATTTATACCGCACAGGGTACTTTTTTTTTTTAACCTTTTAGTTCATGTTTGTTCAAATATGTTCTTGGAATATGGCTCCTGGGGGAGAGTTCTGGATAGATGATATAGACAATCACAAATGGCTTGGGAGCCAGGGCTGAATGTTGGAAGGAATCGGAAAAGGGGCATAATAACCATCAGGGCCCAGAACCTCATTAACTGGCAGAAAGATCAGCGTCCCAGTAAACATCTGTTCTAGGACGTTTGAAAAGAAATTAATTCTCATTGTTAATGCGAGGAGGGGAATTGTCTTAGACGTCTCATAAATAGATAAGGCATTATTTCTAATTGCTAGTCACTGAATACAAATGTCGAAAGAGTCGTGCTCGGCACGGCCTGCTGACCTTCACTCGGAGGCTGGCTGAAGATTTCCCCTGGCGTCACCATTAATTTGCTCGCCAAGTCAGAAAAGGGCGGCAGCTTGGATCTGCAGAAGGTGCTGTGCGGAGTTGACGGGTTTGCTCTGGGTCCTGGGTTGTCTGGCCTCCACCGAGGAGCTCTCACTGGGAGTTGCGGGGGGCTGGAATGTGTTGTCAGGTGTTTGCTGATCTTGGAATTGAGGAAGTGGGACGTCCCACGGGCGAACTCGGTTCAGGATCTTTTCTGTTCCCAGTCGTTCCCCACTGTCGCAGAGTGGATGCCTGTCCTCTCTTGGTGGCCTCCTAACCGTGAAAGAAGGTAGCCAGGGAGTCTTTGGCTGCAGCTCTGACTGGGCAGCTCCGGTCCTTTGGAGGAGGCCCAGGGAGAAAGGGAGGCCAGTTTGCAGAGAATTTCGGCCACAGGGAGCATGGCCTTTCTGTTCCCTGGGTCAGTGCTTTGCAGTTTGACCAGAAGTGACTCTGTTCATGTCACCTGGACAGATGGGCAAAAGCAGAAAGGTTGGCTGGAGGGATTCTGAGGCAGGGCTCTTGCTCGTGGCCGCTCAAGTGCACAGCCCAGTACCTGGGAAATCGGAGCCACTGGGCCCTACGTATGGATTCCAGGTTGAAGGGCAGCGATACTAGGCTGGCGGGAAGGAAATGGTTAACGTGCAACCACAATCCTGACCTGCAGCTCTGTTCTGTGGCGTTTCCCTGTGGAGCCCAAGCAAAACGCCACTCGCCACTCGTGAAAAGGGTTTTACGCACCCCAACCTGTCAAGTTGAAGCCACTGTGGTCTGTTACCTTCAGATGCATCAAGCTGCTCTCCAAACTGGGCTTTGACAAAAGTCCATGACTTATCTGGGAAGGGAGGAGAGGGTGCTTCTGCAGTCGCCGTTACTGGGGCATAAGCAGGCAGGGATCTACAGAGGGGTTGCCAAGTGGTGGTGCTGTGGGAGGGGGAGGAGGCAGGAGCAGGCAGCTGCCCCTGCCAGGCCTGGGTGGCAAGTGTGGCTGGGGCCAGCCGGAGCCCAGTGTTCCCCTTAGGACGGCCTCAGGGAGAGACTGGACATCCAGCCGCCATTTGGGGATGTGGACATTTTTACAATTTTTGCAGTTTTGCTTTGGTGTTAAGTTCAAGGGCAACCGCAGGGGGGAAGTCGCACCTTCAGCTTAAAGCAGTGATTTTTTTTTTTTTCCCACAAATTGGAGGAAAGACGTGTCCTCAAGGCCTTGGGTCTTTCTTTTTAGCTCTACTGGTATCACTCAAAACAACAGGCATCTCGTTATAAAATGTTTGAAACAATTTTATGTGAAAATCCCTCTTTCCATCCCCCTCCCCCGACCAACCAGTCGACCTGATTTACTTGTATTGTTCAAACCTACGACCACAGGAACCTGGCCCTTCTGGACACCCCTCTGCTGCATTCCTGTGCATGCACACATCCATGCCCAGTTGCTCCTCCTCTGTCTCTCGTGTTACTTGAAAACACTAAGCTGTCTTTATGGGCATTGGTTTGAGTGTCTGTGCAGCCTGCTGTCATCTTGCTGTCACTTGGTCCAGTGTCTCCCTGTTCCGAGTGACTCCATTGTCCTGTGCTCACATATAGACATATGTACATCTCAAAGAGGAATTTTGTGTTTTCTGAAAAAACAAATGGCAGCCTGCGTCTGTGGGTGCTACTTGCTGTTCTCGGCTCGTTCCGCCTTCCTACCTTGGCAGCCTCTTCCTGGGAAGCCTGTGTTCCCCCTCCCTCCCTTCTCTTGGCATTTGACATCTCCGAAGGCTGCCTGAGAGGTAGCAGTGGGGCTGTGGCTGACCGAGAGGACCTGGCCCCTAGTCCTGCCTGGACAGGATCCTGGGGCAAGGGGATTAGCAAGGCTCTGCCTCGTCCCCTGCCTCCTCCAGTTACCTGCGTCCCCAGGCATGTTTGGTGTGTGTCTCATGTGGCAGCCAGGAAGATACCTCGGCTGCAAACGTGAAGGAACAGCGTGTGCCCACACTGGTGACAGGCCCCCAGCTTGTGTCAATATTTGGCCTGCTGGAGCTCCTTTGAGGAGCCACGTACAACAGCTACCTGGAGAGACGGATGTGGCAAGAGGCAATTTTTGTATTTTTTCCTTCTCTCCTTGGGAGGGGGGTGGTGTTTGCATGTATTTCTCTTCTCCATAGATTTTTCTCTTTAATGAAAGAATATGTGAGAGGGGAAGGGGAGGGATTGAGGAAGAGAGAACAGCAAGTACAAGCTACAGGGAAGGAGGAGGTCGTGGGGCGATAGGTGCCCCTGGCATTGTCGGGGAGTGACACTTGGCCTTGCTCACCAGTTTCAGCATTTTCTTCTCCGTTGGGTTTTGAGGTCTGTGCTGTGCTCTCTGCCTCACACTGTGAGCTGCACTCGGGGCTTGCTGTGGCATTCTGCTGGGCTGGTTGGAGCCTCGGCAATAGCAGGTTCTTCCAGGTGGTGACATGGTTGTGTCATTAGAAGAGGGTGGTGGGTGGGGGCAGATCGGGCAGTTGCAGGGCAAAGGAGGCTGTGGTTTTGCAGTCGGACCTCTTGCTTAGCTATCTGCACATCTATGTTGATGGGCTCAGGCTGCCAGCCTGTGCGTGGCAAAGTAGAGTGGCTTCAACAACAGCTGTCTTTCCTCACACTTCTCAGGTGGGAAGTCCAAGATCCAGCACTGGTAGGGCTATTGCTTCTGAGGACCTTCTCCTCGTTGGCAGATGGCCACCTTCTCTGTCCTCACGTGACCTTCCTCTATCTTTCTGTGTCCATATTTCTTGTTATGGGGACCCAGGTCGACTGGACCAGGGCCTTTGCTAGCAGCACCATTTTGCCTTAATGACCTCCTCCAAGTCCTGGTCTCCAAATACAGTGACGTGCCGAGGTTCTGGTGGCCAGAGCCCTGACGTGAAATGTTGGAGACACAACTCCACCTAAGAAGGGCTTTGCAGTTTCTTCT